CCCAGACGGCCACTCCCAGCCCCAGACGGCCACCCCCAGCCCAGGCGGCCACTCACAGCCCATACGGCCACTCCCAGTCCCAGATGGCCACTCCCAGACGGCCACTCCCAGCCCCAGACAGCCAGTGGCTGAGGCGCTCAGGCCGGCTGGCTGCAGTCCCCATGGCGCCTGCTCACTCTGCACACCAGGCTCGCCACTTAGCTGCCCAGGACGGCCCAGCCCTAGGAGCATGTGGTGGTGTGGCTGCTTCCCCACTGAGGAAGGCTCCACTGGGGAGTGACACATCCCACTTTAGAAATATGGCTCCAGTGCCCCTGGGCACTGAACGCAGCCCCTCCATCCCCAGACCCCTTTGTCCCCACACACTCATGTCTCAGCCACCCTAGGGGGCCCCCGGTTTCTCTACTAAATGCTATGGTTGGCTGGGGGTACTGCAGAGCCCACATGCTCCACGGACGTGCATGCTAGAGATGGGAGCAGACATAGGGCCCCCACCGCCCACTGGGAGATGATGGGAGAGGCAGGCCCCCACCCGCTGGGAGATGATGGGAGCAGATGCCCGCCCCCCACCCTCTTCTGCGCTGCCGTCTCCTCTCCTAACCAGCCGGTGGTGCCTTATCCATGAGCACAGCCATCCCTGGGGACCCACGTGAACTCCCCTCTGGCCATGAGCCAGCCACGCAGGGCTGACCAGGACACTCTGTTGCACCTGGAAACAGATTCCACAGCATACACTGGCCACATCGGGGCAGAACCTTCAGCTGTGCCTCGCCCAGGCTTAGTATTCTCCTTAAGTCCCTTCTCATTAAAACTTAGTATTATTCACTGAACAACGTGGATTGGCCCCTTAGCTGAAATGGCCAAAGTCCTCCAACCTGGCCTTTGTGCTCCCCCCATGGCTCCCCCAACGGTGTGTCCCCCTCCCCTCCTCTGCCCTGGCATTGCTGCTCCCCCCCAGACCCCCCACGGCTCCCCCCAGGCACATTCCCCTCCCCTCCTCTGCCCCTGCCTTCCTTTGTGCTCCCCCCATGGCACATGCACCCTCTGGACGTGCGTCCTGTCCACATCTCATGTTGAAATACAGTCTCCAGGGTTGGAAGTGGGCCTGGTGAGAGGTGTTTGGGTCGTGGGGTGGGTCCCTGTGAGCAGCTCAGTGCTGTCCTTGCGGTAGCGAGTGAACTCCCAGAGTTCATGGGAAATCTGGTTGTTTAAAAAAGTGTAGGACCTCCCTCCCCTTTACCCCGCTTGAACCCGCTCCGGCCACGTGACCTGCCTGCTCCCCTTGACCTTCCGCCACGAGTGAAGGCTCCTGAGGCTTCCCCAGCACGGGAGCAGATGCCGGCCCCACGATTCCTGAAGAGCCCACTGAACTGTCTGCTGATTAAACTTCTTTTCTTTGTAAATTACCCAGCCTCGGATCTCCTTCACAGCCGCACAGGAACAGCCTGATGTGGGGTCGGTGGCCGACCTGTCCACGTCAACCCTGAGTCGTGTGGGAACAGCCTGACGCAGAGTCAGTGGTTGCCCTGTCCACCGCGACCCTCAGCAGGGGCTGCAGGAGCATGAGTGCCCATGGGGCCCACCTGCAGGCGCAGGGCATGTGGTCTGGTTTAGGGCAGGTGACTGGTGCCACTGGGCAGGCATGGCCTGGACCCCAGACCAGGTCCATTGCAGGGTCCTCCAGGAGCCCCTCCTGCTTAGACCACACCACGGTGAAAAGGATACCACGTAGGCAATGTATTTCCACACGTGAGATAGGAAGGGAATGAAGATCCCAAAGATGGCCAAGGACAGGGTCAGGAAGACGGTCCAGGACACTATCTGGAAGGCGTTCCTAGGCGGTGAACAGCCGTTCACTCGGGAGATTTGCGGTGGCGAGGCCAGCTTCGTGCTATTGCCTGTGGCTTAAGTGGGGCCGGAACTCCGGGGAGTGTCCATCTGCAGGAAGAGAAGGGGAGGACCTATGCCATCAGCCCCAGGGAGGGCCAGCCCCACCCGCCACTGTCAGGGGAACCACAGGGGACTAGGAACACAGCCCCCAGGACCGGCACTGACAGCCCACAGCCCAGCACTGCCCAGGGCCACGTCCCAGCGGAGCGAGCTGGGCTGGGCTGCAGATGGAGCAGGGCCCTACACGGGAGTGAACTGCCATGCTGCAGAATCTGACCCCGGCCAGAGCCATGTGGCTGTGGGAAGTGGCTGTCCAGGGCTGTGACCCTGGCAAAGCCCCCGATGCCTGTGCTGCCACCCCTCAGTAGACCCGAGGCTTTGATGGGTTCTGGGGAGCCCTCAATGACCCCCACACAGCGAGAGGTCCTGCAACTCATCCATGAATACACAGGCTCACCCATGACTCCTCAAGTGGGAGAGGAAAACCCACATCAGAAAGAGGCCACACTGAACAGAGGGGTGCTCCTGGGGGAAACTGAGGCAATGCCAGAAGAGCTCATAAGCCATCGCTAACAGGTGCAACACTTAAACCTGCCAGAACCTCCCCGAGAACCTTCTGTGAGTTTCCCAGAGGAGCAGGACCAGAGAGCTCACTCCACAGGGTCCTGTGTGTCTCCCCTTCCGCAGGACAGGAAGCCCAGACGGCCTCTGGGGGCTGGGACCTCGGCACGGGTGGACAGTGGCTGGGAAGGAACGCCCTGCGGCCGCTCCTGGCCAGGCAGGTAGGGAGGGCAGTGGGGAGGGAGGTGTCACCTTGGGGCAGTGAAAGGTGGTCAGTAGCCGCTGCAGGTGGAGGGATCCTGCAGGCCGGGGCGGTCTCTACCAGAGTTTTCGGAAAAGGCTTGCCTCGTTATGTCTCACACAAAGTCCTTGTTGTGTCTTTGGGGAAAAAAAAACAAAAAAACAAAGAGAAAATGAAGATATAAATGTATTACTTTGGGAGGAAAGACATTGAGAAATAGTTAAAAATTCTTCTTCCTTGCAGTCGTGAAAGTACATGCTTCGGGGCTCTGCCCGCCTCTGGCGGCTCCTCTCTGGTCCTCGGACCATGACACCAGGCGGATGTGGGGCTGCAGGGCCCTGGGCTTGAGTCACACAAGAATGTCTCAGGGAGACCTGAGAGACTTGCAATCATTAAACAAAGCCAAGGTGCCTGGGCAGGGCATGGGGCTCATGCCTGTGATCTCCAGCTCTGTGGGAGGCTAAGGCAGGCAGATCATGAGGTCAGGAGTTCCAGACCAGCCTGGGCAACATGGCAAAACCCCATCTCTACTAAAAACACAAAAATTAGTCAGGCATGGTGGCACACGCCTCTAATCCCAGCTACTCAGGAGGCTGAGGCACAAGAATCCTTTGAACCAGGGAGGTCGAGGCTGCAGTGAGCGGAGATTGCAACACTGCACTCCAGCCTGGGCGACAGAGAGAGAGAGACTT